CGGTCGTACCGCAGGCACGATTGCGTCTTGCTGTCCTTCTCAACATCTGGCCATTGCTCATCTGCATACCTTGGAAACCGCCACGACGAAGAACCAATTGAAAGAGCCGAGGTCGGGAGAAGTGGTACATGATGGTACATGTCACATGGCACACGGCACATATACAAATCCTGCAATTTGCAAGAGCTGTGACAGAGCGGACTTTCCCTCAAGGGAGCCAGTTCGAGCAATATCGAGCATACCAGAGCCGGGTTTCTGCCCATAAAGGAAGCCACGAGGATGCAAGCGACGGGCCGTGGCATCTGAAATCAACAGCAAAAGAAGAGGCAGGAATTCAGCCGACCAGAGCCACCCACTCGGCATGCATGCACCACCCGTACCGCAAGCACGCCGACCCTTCATCCTGTGCTGCTGCCAGTGCAGCATCGTGCGGGTGCGCGCGCGCGTGTTCGCATGCATCAATGTATGATAGGCTTTCAACTGGGAGTCAAGGCACTGCAGGTCGCAAGGCACCGGATTTCCGGACTCCAAACTCTTGGGTGCGTCCGACCAGCCCCCTGCATGAGGTATTGTGTAGCTCCTGGGCTGCAACATGCGGGAAGCTCTCCACGTTCGACAAAAAGGATCTTTCTAGCCTAGGATCAGGAAGAGGAAGAAAGGCCTTCTTGAAGCCTCCGAGGCTGCAGCTTCGAGCCAGGCCATGCCGTGATCGTGAAAAATGTCGATGGTGTAGTTGTAGGCCTCCTTGGAGTCACGAGAGTTCTTTTCTCAGTGTCAGAACTCTATGTTCAGTCAGGTTGCAGGCCTTTCCATGCAAAGATCGCGAGACTTTGCTCCGAGGTTCCCTGACAGCCTGGAGCTCACTCGCCACGGCAAAGGGCACCGACCCAAGGTGAAGATACGCTGGAATCCTTCAGCCTTAAGCACTGCTTGGACAGCATTGCAACTGGAGCACTCGAAGTTTAATTGCTCCATTGCCGAATCGATCTTCGCAGGGTACATATTATGGCAGAGCGCCTCGGATCGGACTTTGGTCCCACTCCATTGCAGGTAAATCTCAGCATGGCAATCGGGCGTTCCGAGCGGCTTGGTCGACTTGTCCGAGGAAAGTGTCGAAGCCCTGCTGCAGAGGTGAAGTCAAAGGCGCCACTTTGCCGAAAGCCCCCGTCCTGTAGCCCACCTGGCAGCTCGAGACGACAAGTGCAACAGATCCTTCCTTTGTTTAGTGTAGTTCGAGGCTGTGGACGGGTCCAGCCTGGCTTAAGAGCTGAGGTAGTGTCTGCGTCTGGTTGGGATGCAGCGTCTCTCCGTTTAGACCCCACTTGAGGAAGTTGCCGCTGTGCCTTCCAGTAAAAAAAGTTGTGCGGCTCGGCGCGGAGGCTCCGAGGATGCGAGAAGTGGCACCAAGCGCACAAAGAAGGCCAACACAAAACGAAACATGGCAGCGAAGAGGTAAAGCTCTCTGAGCTCAAACAGCTGCACCACTCTCATTCATGCTTGTGATTGCGACTGAACACGAGGTCAGTTCTTGCTCTGGCTGTGTTATGGCAGGAACCACCTCGAAACTCAAGCACCATCCCAGAGTCTGTCTCGTCCTTTGCATGCTGACTTAAGCTGGCGCCTGCGTCGCGAGAATCGTGGTGCGACGTGACCGGCGGAGTTACTTCGAAGATTCGAACCCTTCGGCCTGTTCAGCTATTAGCTAGGGTTCAGGCTCAGACTACATGTGCAAGTGCAGACATCTTACTTGGCAGGTAACAGCCCTTATCATGCTGGCAAGAAAGGAGATGGAGGTCTGAATGGGCCTGAAGCCGAAAGGATGAGAGACCGGATCGTTCGTCCTGCTGGCTGCGACTGCATGCACCTTGGAAGTCCTGGTTTTGCTGATATGATGTAAGCAATCGGGGCACACAAAACTTCACGAAACTGCCTTTGGCATTCTGTGAGTGTACTTCCTTCTATGGAGAAGGTCGTGAACCACAACTCGAAGTTGCGGCTAATTTGGGACCCATCTGTGTCACACCAAGGCTCCACCAATGTATAACGGACATCACACACAGGTCCCCTTCGTGCAACGGCAGCTGTCTCGAGCAGCGGCCTGATGCTTATTCCGGCTGACACCTGAGGACACCTGTGGACTCTGAATGACTCTGACGGGCTCTTCGCAGAGATCTTGCTTGGCCAGGTTTGGGGGAGCAGCCTCGGTCAGCACCTGGAAGTGCAGCTGAAAATGAGAAAGTGCGAGAAACTGTTTTACAGAGTTGAAAATCGTTAAAATCATTGCTAGCACTTCGTGCGCAATGTGATCACCTCAACATCTTGTCAGAGGTTTGGCGCATGGCCGTGACCAACACAAGACTCCTTCCCGACCCTGCATACGGAGGTTCAGGTGAACTTGTGGAGGCATCGGGCAAAGCTCAGCAGCAGTTGATGTAGTTGAGCGAATTTCGCCTAAAATCTGCAAGCCGTAACGCAAACATACCTAGAGGAGCATGCAGACAGTAACCCACCACTTCCATAAGCTGACGGCATTCCCCGCGCCACGAACTCGCAGCAGGTGGCCTTCGCCTCTGCACAGTGCAGTCCACAGCAGGAGTTCACAAGGGAATCATGTTGTCCAAAACTCAATGCTGGCGCAGAGCCTCACCATCCTCAGAGTTCTCGAACACATCGTGGAAGAGTCTCGCATTCATCTGCCTTCCACCAGTGTGCTTGGAAACTCTCGCGAAGGAGCACTACAGTACGGCCTTCCACCTGTGTAGATGTTCATCAGATGAACAACACCCGACCTTGCTGGTCACAGCAAGACTTGGCATGCAGCATCTTCGAGCCATTGCATGTAGCATTGGGGCCCATCAAACTATTTCGCTTGGAATCCGGCCAATTCGCCTCCAGAGGAGGGTTGACACTCCTTCATGACAACGAGCGGCTGAAGAAAATCGATCCACTTAACAGGACTGAGCGGCTTTGCCTGGCAGCACGTGTGATGAACGACCAGTCTGACTTCCCAACGCGACCTTGACATGCCAATTTGATCTACGCAATCAACACGAAGGAGAAAGCGGGCTTCCAACCATCCAGCATGAGTGCCAACAGCAGCATGGAGCAGGCAAAGAGTGCATCCCGATGGTCTAATCCTGAAGAGCGAAGCTGTGGAATCAAGGATTGGGGCCCAATGACCTCGTCGAACTTCGCCTGCCAAGCCATCGAAGAACAAGTCTTCGTCGTCCAAGCCTCGAGTGGTCGCACCCTCGCGCTCCGCTCGCTCCGCGCTCCGCGCGCTCCGCTCCGCGGTGGGCTCCCGGCCCAGATCTGCCAGCTCCTCGTAGAGCGACTCCTGGGGCCTCAGAGATTCAGAGAGCTCAGCTCTGCCTTCCTGGATGCTGGCTTTTTATGCTCTAGCTTTTATGCTAGCTCGTCCTTCCTTTCTGCTCCCAGTGTGAGCGAGAGGCTTCTCTGGCTGTGCCTTGGCGCCTCGGCCGACTGGCTTGCGGAAGCAGACCACTCTGACACACCGAACATTGCTGCAAAGCGACGAAACCAGCGACTCCAGCAGCCACCGCCTGAGCTCAAAAAGGAACGCAGCTGCGAGCAAGAGGACTTTTCCATCTGGTCTGAAGCGAGCATCTTGTGCTTGCATGGGCCCGACCCCCCCGACTCGTGATCGCCCCGTCAAGAGGGCGGTGAAAGGGGCGCGCCTTCACTTGCAGATCTTGCAGTGCCGGCACTGGCCTTAACAGGCGCACACATGTGCACAACAGTGAGACAAGACTAGAGGTTGCGCGATGTTGTCCGGCAATGTGCCTTGCTGCTCGGTAGGGTCAAGAAGGACTTGGTGGCTTTGCGCTTTAGCTTCGCCTGTCACAATAGAACAAACACACAGTGCTCATTTCGAAATGGCAGAAAACGGCAGGTCCACCACTTCCAGTCGTTGGCCATACTCCTTTTTGGCCTGAAGCTATTTCTCGGCAGGTGTTCCCGTTTCGTCTCATATTGCGTGTAGCTAGACTTGGCCCCAGACCCGACTCACAAAGCCATCATCTATGAAAAGGTTGACGGTGTGGTTCAGCCTTCTGGAGACATGATGCAGCAAAAATCAGCAAGTCTTTGTTGGCAAAATAGTCACATTACCAATACAGAGGGAGGTTTAAGCCAGGCTGCAAACACCGGCTGTTGGGATGCATCTGCATCTTGTAGGTGATGGAGACGCCTCCGCTCTGCTTTTCTGCTTGGCTCCGCATCGGACCCGTGTCGGTGAGCAGCGGCCTACGGCTCGCAGGGCCAAGCACTTCAGCTCATCAGACCTCAGCTTTGAGGGAAGGCTCTCGAAGCATATCACAGCTCATCACTGTGTCACAGTAGGCCGCAGTCAGCTGGAGCCCAAAACGTTTGTCTCCTACTGTCGGGCCCCGGCAAAGGCTCTTCCACAGCACCTGGGGAAACTGCAGAGGATTCAGCACTGCCCACTTTCACCGCACACTTTCAGATGAATGCTCAGTTTCAACTCTCCCGGTGCGCTTTTATGAGCTGGCTCATCACCTGACACATGTCGGAAATCGAGGCGGGACCCGTCCGGTGCAGAACAGTGCCAGGCTCTGCAAGGCCTCTACGGTTGCAGAGGGGCCGAGAGTGCAGACCATGACCTCATTCATGGCGTACCTTGCAAGTGTCTTTATGCCTCGCATCCCGGCGATCATGATCTCAAGGTTTGCGCGGGACTGTCGCCAAGGTGATAACACTCCATGTGCCAAGGTTCATCGCTAAGAACCCCTGAAACTTTGAGCTGGCATTCTCTTGAGCATGTTCTACTCACATACACACCTCGTGCAAGGGAGGCAGAAGGACACCGGCAATTGCAAAGATTCATAACCAGCAGATCAGCACGAGCTGTCCACCAAAATCGCAGAAGAGCTAGTGCTGTGCGGGAGCGTCTGATCAACTCGCCCGAACAGCGAAACGTTTATCGGAGCTTTCCTATCGGAGCTTTCACTCACCTCCAAGTTGTTGATACCTCGATCGTGTCTGTGTGAACGATTGCCTTTTGAGTGTGCTCGCCTGACAGATGCCTGGACACAGCTGGGTACCGAAAGCACTGCTCCGAAGCCTGAACTGGAGCGCACTCCGTGATGCGACATGAAAGCCAAAACTGGGGCATGTGGCTCGAAGGTGAAGTGGTGCGGCCGACAGTAACCCTTGACCTAGAAGGTCCTCTGACAGTATAGGTTTGGTGCCCTGCCACGCCTGACAGTCACAGAATTGAACATGACCTGGGTCAAGCAAGCTTGTGGCTTTCCTGTCTGCAGTGTTACAGACGGACATATTGGCCGTGGTCTAAGGCTAAGGGTATGGCATTGATAAGAATCTCGATCACCAAAGGAGCCATCCTCAGCCGGCCACGATTTCTGACATATGCCCTCCAAGACCTCCAACAGAATCGGGTACTCGCTTCGCGTACGACTGCGGCCAGGCATGGTTTCTCGCAACTTCGGACACGTCCGAGTCGCTCTGCGAACTTCAGCAATGTCCGAGGTGCGACCTGTAGCAATATCTGAAATGCACCAGCGCATCACGATGAATCCATGAAGGCGCGAAGGCGCCATGCTCGATCTAGCGCCTTCTTGACAATCAACTTGATGACGAACTTGGTGACACCACGGCTGCCCATATAGATCCTGCTTCAACACGGTATTGCAAGCTGAACCATGCGGCTTCAAGGGCGAGATTTTTAGGCAGCGGCAAGGCATAGAGGAGGAGGAGAAATTTGCTGGCCTCGACTCGATTCTAGTCTCGCTTTGAGCAGCCGTCTCCGCTCTGAGGCCGGATCTCGCTTGTGAGGGTCAATCCCAAAGGTTCGAACCTTGGGATGCCCCAGCTCCAAGGCCTAGGCCGCTGCGAGAAGAGTTTCGATGACGTCATCAGCGATCGCTGGGGTTTGGGCTGCACGTGCAAGTGATCCTGCAAGCATCGCACGCTCCCGGTCCATGGGCACAAGCCTTCAGGGAGCATCAGGAGCAAAGATCAGCAAGAAGCACTCGTGGCCTCTTAGCTCTTGCTCTTAACTCGGGGCTCACACGTGATGCCACATATGCGGGTCATCCTGACGGCTGCAACAAGGGCGGCCTGAGTGTGAACAGAGGCTGTGCATGTGAAGATACGCGAAGAAGTGGAGCAGAGTGCTCACGCCATTTTTGCACTTTCTGGAAAGCGGACAGCAGACAGCTGGACCGTCAAACAGTACAGCTGACGTTTGACATGCTGCCCGACTCCTCACGCAGCAGATACCACCGCTATGACCGCACGACTTCTAAATTCCACATATGCACAGATGCCAGACTTAGACCTTGCGCGGATGTCAATGAAAGACGACAGCATCGGTCCTTGGGATGTTTGCCGTGACTGCACACTCTCTTCCTCCGCCCCCACCCCTTGAGCGAGGTTTCAGAAGTAGCCAATGACAATCGCAGAAGACCTGACAGCGAAGGAACGGCCCGCCTTTGGAAGCTTCGAGGACTTAGTGCGACGAGCTTTCCTAATTAGAGGAAATTCCACCAAATTCGGCCCCAGCCAGTGGTCTTCCTGGTGCGGTCCCAGCTGCACGGAACGTATCTTACTGCACGGAACGGTAGGTATACTTGCACGCGTATATCGAGACATCTATGCTGGAAAAATCCATGAACTTTTCGCATGTGAATGTTGTCCTGCTGCTTTTCACACCTGATTTCAGATGATGGTTCGCCCGTCCTTCTGTCGGGTAGTTGGAAACATGATGCCATAAATGGCTGACACTACGATTGCGCAGAATGGGTTCACCGGTGCTTGTCCGAATTGAATCCGAGCTCGACCTTTGTACATGAAGTTGCTCACTGTAGCACAACAGCGCATCGCATCACCATATTCCAGCAGTTTGTCGGCTCTTACAGGCCAAAGCTTGCATTGAAGCTTGCAGTAGACCTTGTCAATCGCTGAGTGTCGGAAATTGCAAGAAGTGGGAGACGCAGGGTGCAGAGCGACGACGTACAGCGCCAGGCAGCTTGCAACAGAATCACGACCCGCGACCCCTTTGGAGCCACGATGCTGAGCACGAGAAGTCACGGGGGTCTTTAGCCCTGACCCGGACGGCTGCATGTGTTGACAGATGTTGACAGTGATCCGTTGCCTGCAATATGCGTTCGCAGACTGTTTGCTACGTGCCTTGTCGTATTGTCGAAGATCGATCTTAACGGCAGGATAGGTGCCGAAGTCAAGCCCGAGAACGCGACGATGCAGCAAACGACCATTTCGGCCAATGACCATATCTGAGCACGCTTCGCCAGTTCATTCAAGCAGATGCCTGACTGCAGTCTGAGCGAGCGACCAGAGAAAAGCTGCCGGCGATGCTGTTGAAGGCTGACGGACGTTGGGTCACTTTGCTACGGCAGACTAGAGTGACGGTGTAACTAGCCTAGCCCGGCCTAGCCAGTCTTCCTCCTCATCGACCATGGTTGCGGTCAGATCGTTAAGCGCCTCCGGACTCTCCGAGGCGAATGCCCACCTCCAACTACCTCCAACTACCAGGGCCCCAATCTCTGCCTGTGCGAAGAATGCAGCACCAATTCCCGCAATCACGCCGGCGAGAACTGCGCCCTGAGTGCTTTGACATCCCAGACTCTTGCTCAGAAAACGCGTCTGTGGACTTTACATTAAGCTCGCTGCATGTGAACAACGCCAGAGTGCTCCCCTCTTTTCCTCCGTGAGAACATGAGCCTTGCTGTCCTGGCTCGATGGCCAACAGGTCGTAGGGAGTTAACCCTCAAATCAAGTCAAGCCAAAGCACCCGTTTAGTCACAAGTACGCTGCAAACAGATTATGTCACTTATGTCTGCCTCCACCTCCATCTCACGCATCGTGGTGACGGCATCCTGCTTGCAGGCCAGAGTCAGGTGTGCTGGGTGTAGTTTGTAGCAAATTCCTGCTATGTATGCAGAGACAAGAGGCCTTGATGGACATGGTCTTCATCGTCGCCTTGGATTCGTTCGGAAAAATTCCCGCTTCGAAAAAACATGTCAGTGTCATGTCAGTGACCATGCCTTCGGCGGCTTGTTCGACTGAAACACGATACCTTGCAGCCTGGGACACGAAGCAATGACGGGAAGCAAATTGAGCAAGCGGTTGTGAGTCTGTCATCGAAGCAGAACCCCACGGGCAAAGCCCCGCACATCGAAGATACAGCAGCTCCGACCACGCTGCCTCTTCGAGCGAGTGATTGCCTGTCCAACGCGGATTTGCTGTCGGATCGTCGAAGGCTCTTGCGTTTCTGGGCACTCCACACAGGGGCAGAGAAAGATGGTCTTCGAGGCTTCTCATCCGGCACCTCGTGCCGGTTGAACACAGATGGCTTTATGACGGCAGCGAGAGCGCTGGCCTCTTGGAGTCTGGGGACTTCGAAGTCCACGAAAGCTTCTCCTACTCTGTTGCACTCTCGCCAAGCCAACTTCAAGCGGAGCTGAGGGCCTAGATTTCTATCAAAACACCGAGCCCGCGGCGCTGTGCATGTTCTTTTGCAGGTGGCGTGTATTTTTCTTTCTGCTCCCTGAGGCATGTGCATCTTCAGTTCTCCCTCAGATGCTGAAGGCTCTGACGCTGCCTCTGAGGCTTCTCTTGCTTTGCGTGCGATTGAGGCGATGGTGTGGAGAGCAGTGCCGGCGGCAGCGCCACAGGAGCTTGCTTCGGAGGCCGCACTATCGCCAGGCGCACATGTTCCTCAGCTGTGATTTTTCCCCGAGTCTCGCACGATGCCACTCAGAACGAGCGAGACCTCCGCAGCTTACCGTTCCACTACGTTGTTACACAAAGGCCCTGACAGTTCCTCTGTTTATTTCTGCTCCATACTTGCAGCCTGCAGCACTGACCACCATATCAAGCACTGCCAAGGATCGGGATGCTTCGGCTGCGTCCTGGTTACGATGACCGGACGACTCTTCCTGGCAAGTGTTGCGAGCTGCGCCTGCAGATGGCAATCCAAGAGACACAGCAATGCAAAAGGCAAGCTGAGAGGCTCAAGCCGCCGTGCAATCGTGGTGAGGCTGGAGACAGACGCAGAGAGAGAGCGAGAGAGCGAGAGAGAAAGAGACAGAGGGAGAGGAACCGCGAACGCGCCGGACAGAAAAACAGAGAAGGAGAGAGAGAGAGGGACAGAGAGAGAAACTTGCCATGTACACATACCTTTGCACATACGATGTGACAGCTACACGCATCAATATACAATCTACTGTCTACAACCTACAGTCTACGATGCATGATCTACAACATACACCAGACAACTTACGGTCCAGAATGTAAAGTATAGGAGATACCTATACTTGTATTGATATACACAATAATATAATTTTGTTGACATCAGAACCGAAAGCTGCATGAGGACTGCACGAGACCGAAGAATCTGGCCAAAAAAACTCTTGCTGGTTCTTTTGCATGTGTCTCTTGCAACGATGATCGCCCTGCGTTTCCTCTTACAGTCTCTTGTAGTCTGCTCTCTGCCAATGTTACGTTGATGGTTTGGCAGGAATCTTGCGAAGCGCTCTGTGTTGAAAGCCATGTACTCCAATGCACAGTCGCATTCGCAAATTTCGCTTTGCTGTGGAACAGTAATGTCTCTGAACGTGTAGCTGTGCCTTGGCGCGTGACTTTCCTCCCTGCACCTGGCCCGTCTGGAGCAAGTCTGACTGACATAAGGTGTTGACTAGCTGCGATGTCGATGCATCCGTGGTAGTTCACTTTCAGTCCGAAGTATATTGACGACCTTTCAGTAGAGTGTAATAACCAATTGATGCATTGAGTGTTCGCTCAAGCAAATGCGAGGCTGCTGAGAAGTCATACCATCTTCCCAACATCTAGCTTTGCAATGACGTTTCGGGCAGAAGCTGCATGCTAATTTGCAACAGAAGGCAGCTTCTGGTGAGGGCGCTTTCAAGCATCGTCATGGTTTAAAGTTTAAAGCCCGGTGCTGCGGCGTTTGGACTTGTTCGATATTCCTGTAGTATCCTTTCTGCAAAACTTGCTTGGCTCGCGTTCTCACGTTGTCCACCCCATGAGCCATTTCCCATACCTTTATCAAGACGTGCCTTTGCCAAGCCTGCAATATTTCTTTACGCCGTCCTATGACCCTGTAGTCTCTCGTCTACAGCTTTTTGTTTACACAAAACGGCACTATGATTTATGAGTGTGCTACTCATCATGCTGTACTACTCAGACACACACACACAC